GCATCGGGCTCCCTGCTCGGTGGGAAGCCTGCTTCTCCCTCTCCCTCTGCCTGCCTCTCTGCCTACTTGTTCTCTCTCTCTCTCTGTCAAATAAATGAATAAAATCTTTAAAAAAAAAAAAAAAGAAATAAGGTTTGATCCCACCACCAGATGGAGAGGATGGGGTTCTCTTCCTGAGAATTTTGTCTCTTGCATTTTTCTGTTGGCAGCTGCTTTTGCTGCCACTGTGGAATTGTCTCAGGTGTAGACTGTGAGAGGGGAGAAAAAGCAGAGGACAAAAACCCAGGAGCTTTCTTCCACTCTTGTTGAGTTTTAGGAGTGCCATTTTCCACTCCTTGAGACGGAACTATGTAGTTTCTCCTGGATCTGTCAGCACCAACAGTGCTAATTTTTGGGTTTTATCCTGAATTGAGTTGAGGCCAGGGGATACCAGAGGACAAAAGAAACACAGCAAACTCACTGCCAGTTCAGTGATACTTTGAATTCTGGTGTTCTTTCCAGGTCCTCTTTCTGATATTTGCTTTACAGAGACCTCAAATTACTGCACTTTGAGTTCTGTCCAGATTTTATGGTTTTGTTCAGTGGGAGAGAAATTTTATTTATTTGACAGAGAGCACAAGTAGGGGAAGCAGCAGGCAGAGGGAGACGCGGGCTCCCTGATGTGGGGCTCGATCCCAGGACTTGGGGATCATGACTTGAGCCGGAGGCAGTTGCTTAATGACTGAGCCACCCAGGCGCTCCAGGAGAGAAAAGTTGATGTGTGTTTACTCCATCTTACCCAGAAGTGGAAGCAATAAAATGCTTTTGCATGGTATTTTACTGTGTATTTTACTCTTTCCAAATGATTTCTAAAAACTGCTTTAGGAAAAGTCTTACATAAAATACAGTACTAGATCATTGTAATTATTAATAGTTATAGCCCACAGGAAATCACTGGAAAGATATATTTCTGCCTTTTTCATAACAGAAGGAAGAAGAATTTCTTTTTTTTTTTTTTAAAGATTTTATGTATTTATTCATGAGAGACAGACAGAGAGAGAAGCAGAGGGAGAAGCAGGCTCCCAAGGAGCAGGGAGCCCGATGCGGGACTCGATCCCAGGATGCCGGGATCATGACCTGAGCCGAAGGCAGACGCTTAACCATCTGAGCCACCCAGGCGCCCGGAAGAAGAATTTCATGCTGTTTTTGACTTAGTCTAAAATCTGATATAGTAATTACTGTACTGAGGAGACTTGAAAGGCTTGGGAAGTGAGTATATATACTGAGAGCATCTGAAATGCTAGTGAGCTTGATCAAGGTGACAGTATCAGGTAGAAGTGGTAATACCTTTGGAAGCTAACAAAAAGTTTCTTTTCAAGAAATGGTAATAAGTTAGGATTTTAAAGTCCTTAGAAGCATAAAGAACACTATTGTTATGAGGTTGTTTTCTGGATTTTTTTTTTTTTTTT